AATAATGAGTTTCATCATGAGATTTTCATACACATACATTTTCCATTTATTTACCCCATTGCCCTTTCTTTTTTGGGGATGCTATTTTATAGCTACATTTTCTGAGTATATGAAACAAAAACAAGTACAAAATAATATGTTAGAATTCTAGTTTTCCAACTAAAACAAGAAACCATTTCTTTTCTGGAAAGATGACATAAAAAAAACTGTGTTCTGGCAAATGTACACGATGCATTAATACTCTTCTCTTCGTAACTTGGGCAACAATGGTCTTTTGTGACCGAGAGAGACACACTATCTTCTAAGACAGAAATGACATATGTTCATGACTACCATAAAAAGAATCTTGTGCAGGGAGTGCCACATACCCCAGGGAATGTGGAAGGGAGTGACAGGAGAGAGAGCAGCAATGCCTTTTATGGTTTCTTTTCAGAAACTTGCTTCTTATGCCCTTTGCGTTTCACTTCCTGCATAATGAGCTTCGTGCATAATGAGATTCTCTGCTGCTTGTGTTGTTTCTATTTGGCAACTAGTTCTATTTCTACTGTACTTCAAAGGGAAAAAAAAGACCCTTGAAATATCGTAGGAAATGGTCCTAAGCAAAAATAGAAAGGAGATTAACTACTTGTAGGGAAATGAAAATTTGGAAAGAGCAAGTTACTATAAATGTGGCACAGGTGGGCAGGAGATGTGAGTTGGGAATCAGTGATGGGCACAGTCTGTCATGGCTTCGGTTTCTCTTTATATTTCTCTTTCTCTCTCTCTCTCTCTCTCTCTCTCTCTCTCTCTCTCTCTCTCTCTCTCTCCACGCTTCATGTGCATGAATGTGTGTGCACATGTGCCACAGCTACATGTGTGGAGGTCACAAGACAACCTTGCATGTTGGTCCTTGCCTTCCATCTTTGTTGGACACAGGGTCTCTTGCCAGTCTCGGTGTCCAGCAAACTAGCTGGCCTGTGAGCTTCTAAGGGGATTCTCTTGCCCCTGCCTCTCATCTCACCATAGGGGCACGGAGGTTATAGATATGTGCTAACATGTCTGGCTCTGTGTGTGTTCCATGGATCTAAACTCAGGTCCTTATGCAGGAAGTGTTTCCTCCACTTTTAAACTCAGGTCCTTTTGCAACAAGTGCTTTCTCCACTTTTAAAATTTTATTCTGAACCTGAAAACAACCTAAAGGCCCCTTGACTGATGAATGGATAAGAAAAATGTGGTACATTTACACAATGGAGTACTATACGATGGAAAAAATAATGACATCTTGAAATTTGAGGGCAAATGGATCTAGAAAACATCCTATTGAGTGAGGTAACTTAGACCCAGAAAGACAAATATCATATGCACTCACTCATAAGTGGCTTTTAGACATAAAGCAAAGAAAAACCAGCCTACAATTCACAATCCCAGAGAACCTAGACATCAAAGAGGACCCTAAGAGAGAATTACATGGATCTAATCTATATGGAAAGATGGAAAGTAGAAAAAGAGAAGATCTCCTAAGTAAATTGGGAGCATGGGGACCATGGGAGAGGGTATGAGGGGGAAAAGGAAGGGATGGGAGTAGAGAAAAATATATAGCTCAATACAAACAATTAAAAAAAGACATCCAAAAAATTTTTGTTCTGAGACAGGATCTTCCTATTTAGCCTAGATAGCTTTGAAGTTACAATACAGAGGAGTAGTCAATTCACTTCCCTTCATTTTTAGATGCCTAGATCCTCGTGTCTTCACAAGGGCTTTCTCACAACTGATCAAAATTGATTAGGCACAGCTGTAAGTAACAGACTCCAGATACCAAATCATAGCAGCTCAAGGAGATGCAACTTCCCCCCATGAAAAGTCAGGACTGGGTAACTTAGAAATGATACGGCTATTATGCTTCATCCGGCCCTGAGGAGGCAGACTCAGTTCATTTCTCAGGGCATGATGTCCCACCTGTGGTTGAAAAGCTTGGTCAGGGATCCACACACTATAGAAGAATTCAGGGCAGCAGAAGGAAGAGATAAGAAGAATGCTTTACTTACTGTACATGCGCCAGCTGTCTTTCTTTCAAAGATGCCTGGCAGCAGCCATGGGAACTTTATGCTCACATCTCATTGGCTAGAACGTAATCACAAGCCACAACTAGCAGCAAGGGGAAATGGGAAATGCAGTCTTTCCCTGCAACCAGCATTTTAAAAGAAATCAGTTTTCGGTCTGACCAGTTCTCAACCTCCTGGCTAAGATCAAATATGACATTTACTCCAGGGGAAGAAGAACATTAGACACAAGGGACAATCACGATGAGCCAGAAATTGTGCCTTCTATATGCTGGTCTCAAATGCTGTTTCTTGGGATTAGTGCCAAGTAGTAAGTAACAAAGAACTGACTGTGTTCTCTTCTAGAGTAAGTGCAAACGTGGCTACCTTCAGTTTCAAGTTGTCTTTTATCCTTATGTCAAGGCTCTATTAGATTTGATTTCATCTCAGCTTTCAGTTCCTTTTTGGGAACATAGGGATGTCCTGACTTGTCTTTATTGGGTCGGGTCATGGACACTCAGCTTCCCAGGACACTATTTTCGATGCATGGAGACACAGGCAGCCATGTTGCACCCATGCAAGGTACGCCTCGAACCCTTCTTCTAGAAACCAGGAGCCATAATTTAGAAGCTTGAGGCTGCAGGTCAAGTGACTTTCATGGTGGATTTAATAATTTTATAGGACAAGGTAGGAGTGGACAGAGTGATTCAGGTGTTAAGCTCTATCAAGTGGAACACTCTCCTGACCATCCAGAATTGGAAGGAAACTCTAGGATCATCTGTCTTAACAAGTCATCATATAGAGCTGGATCACTAGGACCATGGCTGGTTTAGAACCATCATTCAGCATCCAATATCTTAACTCCCTCCCTCCCTCCCTTCCTCCTTCTATTTCTTTCCCCCTCCTTTCCTTCCTTTTTTTGAGGAACAGTCTCACTATGTAATTCTGGCTCGTCTGGAACTCTCTATGTAGACGAGGTTGGCCTTGAATTCACAGAAATTGGCCTGCCTCTGCCTGGGATTAATGGCATGTGTCATCATGGCTGGCATTCTCTTTGCTTCTTACAACATGAGCAGTCTTTTCTACCATTTGCTTCTGCTATGGGCACCGCCCAAAGGTCATGAGGCCAAGCGAACGTGTAGACTGAAATTTTAGCAGCTGTCAGCGACACAGACACGAAACAAACCTGGTTATAGAAACCCCTGGAGGCGGCTGGAGAGAAAGCTCAGTAGTTAAGAGCACCGAGGATGAGGGTGCAATTTCCAGCATCCACACAGTAGCTTAGAACCATCTGTAACTCTAGTTTCTAGAGCTTTCTTCTGGCCTCCATGAGTACCAGTCATATATCACTCACATACACACGCACACGCACAAACACCAAAAAAAAAAAAAACCCCAAACCCACAGAAATACACAAACCCCCTCAAAACCTTAAAAAAGAACCTCTTGAATGGATAACAGTTGCTGTGTTCTGGGTGGGAGCAGGTGGAGAGTTCGCGCTTACCCACAGGAAATGTACTGTAACACACAACTGAGAGGCTATTGTCTGCATTCAGCAGGAACATTGAGGAAGATTTTCAACATTCAAAGATTCTACATATCTACAGAAGTATTATAAAAATTCCTTCTAGCTATGGCTATGCTTTCTTTGTAGTTCTTACCTTTTTCGATTTATTTTTTTTAGGTGTGTGTGTGTGTCTAGGACTGAGGTTGATGTTGGGTGTCTTACTCTGCAACTCTCCATCTTTTTTTATTTTGAGACAGGGTCTCACACTGAACCTGGAGTTCAAAGCTAGACTTGAGGACCAGCAAGCCCCAGTGAACTTCCTGTCTCTATCTCCCCAGTGTTGGGATTATACATTCTGTGTCCGCAGCAGACAACAATGTTACTTTTGATGCCCCTCTTGGATTAATTTAGCAGCATTTATAAACAAATATCTTTTAGCAGCTGTTGCTCCTTCCTCATCATTCAAACAATTCAAAGAGAGCATAATAACATATAGTATCCAGACTCTGTATATTTTTCATCTTTACACAGCTTTATTTTAACCTCTATTTCTTTTATTTTTAATTTTTATCTTTTTGAGACAGGGTTTCTCTGTCAATCTCTGTCCTGGAACTCCGTTGACCAGGCTATCCTTGAACTCACAAAGATCTGCCTGCCTCTGCCTTCCAAGTGTTGGGATTAAAGGTTTGTGCCACCACACACAACTACTTTCTTCCTTTCTTTTTCTCTTTCCATCATCTGAGTATCCAGAATTGAAATCAGGCCATTTGGCTTGGCAGCAGGTACCTTAACTGTCTAAACCATCCTGCTGGTCCTTGCTGGTGCTGCTTCTTTAAAGACTTTTAGTTTTCCCATTTTAAAATTCTCTGTGTATATGTGCCTGTTTGTGGCCATGTGCATTTGAGTGTGCGTGCCCCACAAGGCCTGAAGTATCAGATGTCCTGGGGCTGGAGGTATAGCTGGTTACCAGCTGCCCATGGTGGGTGCTGGGGATCAAACTCAGGACCTCCGGACAAGCAAGCAGCACAGGCTCTTAATGTCTGAGCCATCCTGCTGGTACCAGCTGCTTGCTTCTTGATGCAACGTTTGGTCACCAGTGCAGCCTATGAGTCGGTATTGTCCAATAGAACTGGGGTTGATGATGGATGTGCTATCTACTACGCTGTTGAACAGCTGAAATATGCAACTGTGACCTGGAAACTGCAGGCAGTGATATATGTGGCTACTGGCTACCACCCTGGACAGTGGAGATGTTCCAATCACTGAATAACGTTCTGCTGGAGAGCACTGCTCTCCTGGGAACCAGCCCTGAGCTATAACCTGTCATTGATTTTGCTTCTGGAGTGGGAAAATAGGCAGCTGGAAAAGGGAGCACTGAGAAGGGGTCTACACATGGGCAGTGGGAACCCTATTAGTCCCAGGAATTCTGGGAAACAGCAGAATTCACATCTTAGGATCAGGCTGTCTCAAATGTCATGGAACTGGCATATTCCCCCTTGTTTTAGTTCCTGTGACTTTTTGGGCACTTCCACTTGTCCTGCACAAGAGAGGACACTGGCTCTAAAGGGTCTCAGTCACAGAACAGGAACAGTCAATGCTGTCAGGGTCTACAATATTGGTTCCCATAAGGGTCCTGATCCTGACCTCAAGGCGCAACCATAGTGTTTTATATATGCCTTCAGAGCAGTTGTCTCATTTGTATTTTTTATTTCATTTAGACAATGACTTTATTCCATAATATTCTTCTACTTTGTTTTTCCTACTGATAGAGTATGTTTCAGAAATATTCCATTGGAATCATTTTTTTTTTTTTAAAGATTTTCCCTTCTTGGCTGCCTTTATTACAAAAAAGCTTAGGCTGGGGAGAAAAGGACCTTCGGGGGCTTGACTGAAAGAACAGAAAAGCCTCGTGTTTAGCTTATAGATTTCAAAGGCAATTGTTGAGACTGCAGTTTGCTTCAAGTCATTTCAGGATGGTGATTTTCCTGTTAAAAAAACAAATAGGAGTTTGCTCGGTGCTAAATTCAAGCAGTGTGTGGGCTGATTAGATAATGGAGTAGGCAATCAATGCATTAACTCCCAGGATGCCTACTGCAGCGGAAGGAAGCAGACTTTTAGGCAAGGTAGCTGCCAGCGTGGGAGGTAGCTTCCAGCATGAGTAGTTGTAGATTCAGTCCACTTCCGCAGCAGACAACAATGTTACTTTTGATGCCCCTTGAAGGGTTCTAGACTCCTAGTTTCTTTTTCTTCTCCCACCTCCTTCAAACATTCCAGACTGGCCTTGAAATCCCTGGGTAGCTTCTTGAACTTCTGAGCTTATTTATACCTTCGCCTCCCAATAGCAGGAATTACAAGCATTTACCATCTTGCTCAGCTAAGAATGCATCAGGTATACTCCTGCCTTTTCCCATTTCCTTGACGGTTCAGTGAGGATGGATGACAAGGGCTATTGAGATCAGACTCTGCCCTGCTCTAAGTTACTCTATATTGTGGAAAACAGTGGGGTTTCAGGCTGTGCCTTGCTTTGGGAGATTCCATTTGAGGATGGAGGATGATTTTCCAACTTGGGGCACCTATAAAAAAAATCACCATCTATCCTACACCACCCACAAGGCACAGGCTGATAAATAACATTCCTAACAGTAGAAAAAGTGCTGTCCTAATGACAGGAAGCTGAGAACTTGGGTTGGCTCAGAAAAAGTATAGCCTTCAAGTCTACTCCCACTGAGCTACCTCCATGAGGGTGGCCCCATGTTTCACATGTACCACAACCCACCAAAAGAGCATCACGACCTAGGGACCAGAGGTCCAAACACATGAGCCGATGCGGGACATTTTACATTCCAACCAAATCAGAGAGTTTTGTGTAGAACAGATTATAAGAAAGCAAGGGTGGGTAGGGAGCTATTGAAATAAAATCTCGATTTGAAACGGACAGTAGCATTTGGACAGTATGGAGGTTTGAATGAGAATGGTCCCCCAAAGCTCATATGCTTGAATACTTGGTTCCCCAGTTAGTGCTGCTGTTTGGGAAGGATTAGAAGGTAGGGTCTTGTATGAGGAGGTGTGTCACTGGGATAGGCTTTAAGGTTTGAGGCGCTCACATCAGGCCCAGTTTTGCTCACTCTCTGTCTGCAGTTAGTGGATCAAATGTGAGCTCTCTGCTATGTAACCACGGCTGCCTACCTGCTGCTTCCCTCCCCTCCCCGCCAGGATGATCATGAACTAGCAATGTGAAACTGTAAGCAAGCCCCCAATGAAATGCTTCTTTTAATAAAATTCATGATCATGGTGTTCCCTCAGAGTAATAGAACAATAACTAAGGCAGGTAGAGAGGCAGCCGTGTGATAGCAGATATAGGCAGAGCCAGCAAGGTTTCTGATGGGTTGAGTGGCTGAAACACCTAGAAATATGGAGTTGTCATTGCTTCTCCATCTCTCCCATCTATCTTCTGTCCCGTTTCACTGCCACTTTCACTGTAGGTCCCATTGGTTTTCAGTGCTGTTATCGCTTTCAAGCAGATCATTGTGGGAAATGGGTTAGTTCAGTTCGGGCCTTTGTGAAGGCTTAGCAGCTGCTCACAAAGTCCAAAGTGTAACACGGAAAACCTGCTCCAGTTCAAATGCGACTTGCCTCCTCTGCAATTCAGTCAGAAATTAATCCTTCATATGAGATATTAAGAGATATTGGAACCTTAAAGAGGTGGTTAGGAGTCTGAATGGATTAGATCATACAAGTCCACTCTAAACCCAGCTTAGCTAGGTCTCGTGTGCAATCACTGTGTTTCACCATGTGGGTCCATCACTGCCTGCTTCAGGACCCTGCCAGCAAGAGTATTACCCAATTTCCAGTTTCTGGCAAACACTAACTCATTTTCTATCTCAGTGGATTTGCCTACTTTGAACATTTCACATCAATGGAATCATTCAGTGTGTGTGTGTGTGTGTGTGTGTGTGTGTGTGTGTGTTCTATCTCGCTTTTTTAAAGTGATATAACAGTTTTGAGGTTTCTGTTCCAGACACTTATCTTCGCAGTACTGGGTCTTCTTATGTCACCCAGTTGGCCCTCTTTCCTCTCCGATTTTGCAGTCATCCTAAATGGTTTATTCTACTTGCACGAAATCCACTGTGGGTGAGTTTCTGCCTTGACCTCAGACTTCTCTTTTAGTTTTTCACCAAATGCCTATCCAAACTACTCTGCAACCCCAGGCAGTGAAGACAAGAGACTCAGTCTCCCATGTCAGAAAGCTCGGGCTCCCTCAAATCTTTTTGTCCATCTGCAGATGGAAAGTGTAACCCAGAGGCAAGAGCTCAGAGAGACTCAAATCCCAGATCAATCTTCACTCCTGATGTGGCTCATTTGCCGGCTTCGGGCCACTTCCTCTGACTTCATTTCTCTATCTGGGCAATAAAGAATTGACTTTCAGAGGTGTGCTGGGATCGAATCATGTAGTGCGCATGAATTGCTCAGCACATAGCATCACCAATCAATCACCCACTTCCTATATCAATTTCCTGTTTGTCCTTTCTGGTAGAACTGCCACAAATGTAACGACTTAAGCCAAAGACAGATCCTCTTACGCTTCCTGAGGGCAGAAATCTGCACGGAGTCTCACAGGGCTAACATCAAGGCATATGAAAAGTTTCATTTCTTCCAGACGCTCTTGGGGGAGAATCCATTTTCTTGACGTCTAATTTCTGGAGACTGCAGGCGGCTGTCCTCCGCTCTTTCTAGTCATGTCTTAGACTTCTGCTTCTGATGTTCTGTTGTTCACTCCAACCCACATGCGTTCGCAATTATAAAGATCCTGGAATGACGAATCACAATGTGAGAATACAGGATCCTCCCTCCCTTCATAAGCTCGTTCACTCCATCAGTCAAGTCCCCCATTGCCATGAAAAGGAACTGGACAAGTGCCTCTTTCCCTTCAGTGCCTTGGGCTAGCCCTCTCCAGGTCTATCTACTTCCCACTCTCTTCTTTTATTATTATTAGCTCATGCTCATTTTTTCTATTATCATCATCATTATTATTTTATTGCTTTTCGAGACAGGGTCTTTCTACATAGCCATGGCTGTCCTGGAACTCACTATGTAGACCAGGTGAGTCTTAAAGTCCAAGATTCACTTGTCTCTGCCTCCCCAGTACTGGGATTCACCTCTCCCAGCTCTCCTGCTCCTTCTGGACAACAGAATTTAAGAAGTTTTCGCTAGAGCAATCCTAAACGGCTTCTAGCACTCTGGTCCTTCCCCACTTGGAGCTAAAGTCCTACAGGCCATCTTTATGCAGAGACTTTTGGCTATCTGTTACAGGGCATAAACATCTCTCTAATCTCAGGGTTGAAAACTGATCTGGATGTAAGGGAGAGGAGGCATGAGGACCAAGAGTTTAAGGTCATCCTTAGATCCAGAGCAAATCTGGTATCAGATTGGGCAACATGAAACCTAGCCACAAATCCCCACGAATTAAATATGAAATTAAAAAAAATTCTAACTGACCATGCTGGCTAGTTTTATGTCAACACAAGCTTTAGTCACCAGAGAAGAGTGAGCCGCAATTAAAAAAATGAACCCCATAAGAAAAGTGAGAAGGGGAGGTTGGGGGGAACTTGGGAAACGGGATGTTTGGGATAAAGGAAGGTCGGATAGGGGAGCAGGGAAGCACACATCTTAATTAAGGGAGCCATCTTAGGGTTGGCAAGAGATTTGGTGCTCCCAGGTGCCCAGGGCGATGTCCCCAGTTAGTTCCTGGGGCAGCTGAGGACAGAGAACCTGAAATGACCCTATCCTATAGCCATACTGATTAATATCTTGCATATCACCATAGAACCTTCATCTGGAGATGGATGGAGATAGAGACAGAGACCCACACTGGAGCACTGGACTGAGCTCCCAATGTCCCAAGGAGGAGCAGAAGGAGGGAAAATATGAGCAAAGAAGTCAGGACCACGAGGGGTGCACCCACCCACGGAGACAGTGGGGCTGATCTATTGTGAGCTCACCAAGGCCAGCTGGACTACGACTGAAAAACCATGGGATAAAACCGGACTCTCTGAATATGGCGGACAATGAGGGCTGCTGAGAAGCCAAGGACAATGCCACTGGGTTTTGATCCTACTTCATGTTCTGGCTTTGTGGGAGCCTAGCCAGTTTGGATGTCCACCTTCCTAGACCAAGATGGAGCGGGGAGGACTTTGGACTTTCCACAGGGCAGGGAACCCTGACTGCCCCTCAGACTGGAGAGGGAGGGGGAGAGGAGTGGGGGGGAGGGGGAGAGGAGAGGGAGGAGGGGGGAAACGGGAGAAGGGGAGGGAAATGGGAGGCGGGGAGGAGGCGGAAATCTTTTTTTTTCAATAAAAAAATTATATTAAAAAAAAAATGAACCCCAAAGATAAGCTGCAGGAAAAGCTGGAGGGCATTTACTTCTCTCTCTCTCTCTCTCTTGTTTTTTGAGACATGGTTTCTGTGTAGCCTTGGCTGTTCTGAAGTTTGCTCTGTAGACCAGGTTGACCTTAAACTCACAAAGATCCACCTGCACCTGCCTCTCAAGTGCTGGGATTAAAACCCGCTGTAGGGCATTTTTTAAATTAGTGATTGATGGGGGAGGGCCCAGCCCATGGTAGGTGGTACCAACGCTGAGACGCTGGTCCTGGGTTCTACAAGAAGGCAGGCTGTCCAAGTCATGTGGAAGAAGTCAGTAAACAGCAATCCGTGGCCTTTGCATCAGCTTCTAGCCCCAGGTCTCGAGTTCGTGTCCTGACTTCTTCCTTTAGTGATGAACAAAGTAAGCTAAATAAACCTTTTCCTCCTCCTTGCTTTTGGTCATGTTTCATCACAGCAGTAATAGATGGTTCTATACTCCTTGGTGGGAGTTCCCGACTTTCTACTGCCCGGCCATAACATTTGCCTATCTTAAAGGTGTGAAATGTTATGGTATTTGAATTACCATGGTTCTGATTAGCTGTGGGGTAATCCATAATAGGCTTGGAAATACTCTATATGCTTTCACGTTGTGCTAAGATTTATTGGTTTTTGTTCTTTGAGACAAGGTTTCATATAGCCAAGGCTTGTTTCACACTCTTTAAGTAGCTGAGGATGATGACCTTGAACTCCTGACCCTTCTGCCTTTACCTCTACCTCCCCAGCGCTGGGGTTACAGGTGCACACTACCACACCTTGTTTATGGAGTGTTGGGGATAGGACCACGGGCTTCATGCATGCTAGGCAAGCAATCTCACAACTGAGTTACATATCTGGCCTTGTGGTATGATATGCAATACGTATTAGTCTCTGCACCTGGTTCCCAAATGAACTCCTGAAACTATGGTAGAAAACGGCTCTAAGAGAATATTAATTCTAATACTTGGCTTTTGATTTTCATGGTATGGAGTTCTTAAATCCCTTGGACTTCCCTATATAATAAGATCATCTCTTGATCTAATGAAACAACTCTTGGTAGCTCTAGGATGGTGTCAGTTTGGGAGCTTGCTACGAGCAGAAACAACTAAAGCTGTCAGCATCAAAATGGAACCCCTTATGCTAACCTCTACAAAACAATTGTTTCCTCAACTTTGACATAACTTTGGTTATTAGTCATTGTGGCAGAGGATATTGTTTCAAAATAGCTGACTTGACCCTCTTCTTTTTCACCTTAAGTCTTCCCCTTGTTCCAAACTCTCTGAACATGGGCATAGTTTACTATGGTGCAAATATTACCACTGCCTTGCCCTAAGCTCTCTCTTCTGCTTTTACAGACCTCTAGCAGTACAGACACACATCAGTTCAGACACACAGCAGTTAACATAGTACATGTTTGTGTCCCTGCCTAGAATGCAAGTTCCCTAAGGGAAAGGACTATGGTGCAGCTAATTGGAAGGGATACTCAATATATTCAACAACCATTTACTGAGAAATGGATCAGCAATAGGTGTAGTCTATCACAAATGGTCCTAGGAACAAATTACAGGTGGGCATGAGGTATCCAGAAGCAAAAGTGGACAGGGAAGGAATTCTCTATATTTTAAAGTTTTATATTCTGGATCCCCCTTGATATTTTATGACCTTTTCAAAAGAGGGAATGTGTATTATAAATACTTACTTTTTACTGTGTGACCAGCACTGTGTTTTATAGGTACTGCTCAATGGTCTTCCCAACAGCAGTGAAAGGAAAGCATTGACACACATTTCAAAGAGAAAGAGCAGCACCAAGAGAGGAAGGTAACAAAGCCAGTAGTGGGGAATGGCCAGGCAGCATCTCTGAGGCAGGTAGAGAAAGCTGTGCTCTCAGCCAAGCATCTCCTGCTGAGACACTAAGTGGCTTGTTTGTGCGTGAGTCACATTTGTATTATCATTTAAGTGTTGGGGTTTCTAAGAAATGGGAGAAAGAGGGAACACCTAGAATGTTAGTCATTGTGTCACCTTGGGAGCAAGTGAATTCTGATTTTTGTCTACAGTACCTAAGCACAAATCACAATGCCAGTAATAAAATGAGAACTTGGAACAAATAAACACCCAGGGGTGCTGAAAGGAATGTTTGTCTCAGGGCAGGGGGATGGAAGCTAAATGTGCTCCTCGGGAGAAACAGTCGATAGGAAATCTTTTCACCTACCTTTGATGGATGTGCTAATCTTCTGAGGTCAACACAGGCTCACCCCCAGCAACGCACTGTTAATCACTTATTTAAAAAGTAGCTGGCTTCTAGAGATGGACTGCGCCGTCAATGTTTAGGTTTCCTTCTCACAGATGTCCTTGCTTATCAAATTGGTATTTACCATATGCAGTAAGAGCTCAACTGTGCATTCTGACAACAAGAGGCTGCAAAAGTGACTAGATTGGGGAATTCCTGTTCCTTGCTATCAATTAATTCTGTTTGGCATCCAAGGTCTGAACAGAAAACAAAATAAGAATGTCAGATGGGTGATTTTCACTCTGTTATAGCAGCAGTTGCAGATCAGATCCAGTCCATGGCCTGTATTTTACAAATAAAGTTTTATTGGAACACAGTCAAGTTCATTTGTTTACTCAGTATCCATGGCTGTTTTGACGCTGTAAAGTCAGGGTTAGGCAGTTAGGAGACAAAGCACATGGCCTGCCAAGCCCAGAGCATTGCCCTCAGGCCTTTTAGAGAGCATGTAGGCTGACACCTCGCTGAATAGCAAGTGGCATTTTCCTTACTGTACTCTTGTATCATTTTCAGAGGGATTCAAAGGGTTACAGTCAGTGAGAACATGTGGATTAGAGCCCAGAATGGGGTGCACATCTGTAAGCTAGCAATTGGGATGTGGAAGGAGGAGGATTTAAGAGTTTGAGGCTAACTTGGGTTATATGAGAACTGGTCTCAAAAAAAAAAAAAATGACATGTGGCTTAAGGATTTTGTGACAACCAGGAAGGCTTAAAGAAGGAAATTACAAAAGCAAACCATTGTATGTCTAGGCAAAAATGTCCATGAACTGAACTCTATTAGGGAGTTAATCAAGAGCCAGTATAATAAGTATAATATATATGATTATCACTTTATGTAAAGGGGACATTTCTTGTGTTGGCAACAGTGTACCTCCTGCTGATAGAATTCTAAGTGGCTGACAGATCGTATCCACTGTGTTGGTATATAGGCCTCTTTCTCTGAAAAATGTCCAAGAGAAATGAAGAGAACACATCCAGAGGAGGGAAAGGTGAGGAATTGTGTTCAGGAGGCTTTCCCCAAGGTCCCTGTGCCAACGACTCAGAACTTCAGAGGAATGACAGGCCAGTATTTTGGCTGCTTTTTGTCACAATACTTGTCAAAGCTCATCTGCACAGCAGCCTCCATGGCCAGGATCTTGGGAGCACTGTCCCCATACAAACGTTTCATCTCGGCTTGACGCCGCTCCCCAGGCTTCTCTAAGGGAGGCTCTGTGGACCGGTGGTGGTTGTAGTACAGCCCATGGTCCGCATTTACATAGTCGTCCAGGCGCTCCGCTTCTAGCTGCTGCTGTCGCCCTGGGGATGGATAAGAGCATGGCCATAAAAGATATGTACATGCAGGAGAGGACCTGATGAGTATTGCCGCCACTGGCACAACTCATGTGCAGCCATAACTCACACGCTGCCTGTGGCCCCTAAGGTCCTTCTGTAGCCTTTTCCAGTGGTAAATTAGAACCCTGCTGGACCACTGAGGTAATTTTCAGATCCCGAGGCATGGCCTACAGATTCTCGTTATCTATATTAGTAGTCATGAAGCTCACTGCTCACTTCTTAGGGGCCTCTAGCTGCTGACAGAACTGGCAAAATGCCACCAAGAAACCCATCATTCCAATCCACCAATCCTCTGTAGCAGACCTTAAAAATACAAGAGGAAATGAAAACACGTGGCTTTTGCTGGCCATCTTCTGGGCCATGCATGGCAGGCAGTCCTTGTGTGCTTTCATGTAATGCTCCCCCACGAGAATTACTATCCACTGGATAGACGGAGGCAGGCGCAGTCCCTTGGACCCAGAGCTCCCTGATGCAGCTAGTCTGTTTAGCCAGCTTGCTCCTTGGACTGTGTCTCTTCTCAAACGCTGGGATTACAGGCGGACTGCCACACACATCTGCTATTGCTGGTGCTGAAGTCCCAACTCTGGTCCTCACACTTGTATGGCATGACAAGTGCTTCACACAGAGCTGACAACTCAAGCCAAGAAGCAGTTCTTACAGCCACAGATGAGGTATGAATGTGGGGTGACCCCTCTGCGCCTGCCACACAAGGAATCTGCTACATAAGCCATCTGCTTTTTTTAGGTGTGGGGTTTCACTTGTCACTTCACAGCTTAGCCTGGGTGAAACCTGCGAGTCTGCCAATTTAGTAAGTTCCTGTAAAGTAAGCATTTATTCAATTTGTTTCCCCTTTTCTACTTTTGTTTAAACCACACGTCCCAATAGTACAATTTTTATTCCTATGTAAATAGCCACATAAAATTGTCAACAAAGCAATGCTGCAGAGGGTAAAATGGAGGCAGCTCACACGGATTCTGCAAGCGATGCTGTCAGGAGGGAAACGGATAGCAGAAAGCACATTAGCTGTAGCTGCTATTGTTACCAAGAGGAACGCCTGGAGATAAGGAGTCAAGATGGCTGTAGGGGATAAAACAATGGCATAAATCAGCCTCTTCTAGTATCTGGAAGGGAAGACGGCACTGAGCTAATCAAGTGTGAAGGGAAGACATTTATATAGCTATTCGCTGTCACCCTTGTAAATCTGGTTCTTTATAACTAACACCTTGGAGTTGGCAAGGAGTTTTACAAACCTGATGGAACAAGCCTTTCAATATGCTAGCCCTCGCAAGGTGGAAGCAGGTAGACAGCTGTGAGTTCTAGACCAGATTGGTCTCCATTGTTAGTCCAGGATAGCCAGAACTGCATAAGGAGACCCTGCCCACATTTCATTCCCGCACCCAAGCTGGGCAGCTCACACTTACCTGGAACTGAAGCTTCAAAGATGCTCTGAGAGCACCCCCACACATTTGACATGCACACAGACACACACACACACATATACATAAATAAATAAAAATGGCTATGGCCACATATATTCATCTGGCCACTGTTGTCCTAGAACATCTGCAGTTTACTGTCCCATGTGGAAGTAATATATAATAAGGCAAAAGCCCGTGAAGCCACAGAAAAGAGATGTATATTGATCTTTACTGGAAGATGCACAAAACTGGCCTACTGCACAAATAAATTAGAGGTCACCAAGTATTTGCTTCAAAACGTGGGTCTTTCTCCCAAGTTTCAATCATTAGCATTGCTGCTCAGTCCTCAGAGGTATGTACATTCTATACCCCAAACCTGAGTTCTGGTAGAGGAACATGATGGTGAATGAACTGGGCCCCAATTAGCCAGGGGAAATGGACATTTCACCTCTGAGCTCACTTCTGCTGGAAGAACAAAAATTAAAAAACTGAATCAGGGAAAAGCACGTGACAGCTCTCTGTCTGCATCTTATTGCTATAGAGATCCCTGGGTTTTAGATATGGGAGCTTGGGTGGAAGCCCAGCCAGGGACTGTCTTTTCCCTGGGCTCACCCTTCACCCTTCTTTTACTACCCTCCCCCAGTCCTGGAATCAGTCACCTCCGGTTCTTTTGGCAGAACTCTGAAGTAAGCTTAGATTGCCTGGTGGGACAGTGTTTAATAAGCATTGGAATAGTGGCTTAGCCTAGACTCGCAAAGTAGCCAAGGTGACTGACTCCAAACTTCTTATCTTATGGTCTGCACCTCTGAGGTGTGGGATTTTAGTAGAGCGCCACCACGCCTGGTTTAGACAGAGCTGAGTGTGGAACTGCAGGCTGTGGGCAACCCAGGCAAAAACGTTACCAACCGAGCTATATCTTAGACTCAAAAATTTAGTTCAAAATCAAACACTCTCTGACCAACAGGCTGTGTACTTATGATCCGTTAGTATCTGAAAATACTATGAAGAGCAGTTCTCAATCTGTGAGTTGTGACCCATGAGGTCAAGACCCTTTCACAGGGGTCACCCAAGACCACCGGAAACACAGATATTTACATTACAAATCATAACATGACCAAAACTGCAGTTATGAAGTAGCAACAAAAATAATTTTATGCTTGGGGGTCAGCACAACATTAGGAACTGTATTAAAGGGTTGTAACATTAGGAAGGCTGAGGAACACCGATCTAGAATACACTGACTTAGAGAACCAAGAACTGTATGATACAATGGGCTTGAAGGCCTCCGCCCAGTCTGTTTGTTAATTATTGCTTTCTTCCTCTCTCCCAAGGAAAGAAAGCATCTTTAACCCTCCACATTTTCTTTGTCAAGGTATGGTGAAGGCTCAACTGAATGATCCAAATGAAGCTGACATCCACATCACACCGGAGACACAGCTGAATCGTTGCCTTGCACGGATAACAGAGTAGGTCATGTTAAATCTCAAAACACAGTAGCACTCAATGTCACAGCATTTTTTTTTCTCATAGGGTTGTAATAGTGAGTCTTGATTAACAACATGACTGCATTGAGGGATACCTAGGATATAGTAAAGACCCCCTTTGCACGTGTCTAGGAGTGTTTTTCTAGGTGAACAACCAAGGAAGAAAGATCTGTCATAAGCCAGGCGGTGGTGGCGCAGGCAGGTGGATCTCTGTGAGTTCGAGGCCAGCCTGTTCTACAAGAGCTAGTTCTAGGACAGGCACCAAAGCTACAGAAAAACCCTGTCTCGGAAAAACAACAACAACAACAAAAAAAAAACAAAACAAAAAATATCTGTCATGAATGTGGGTGGCAACAGGCTGGCTCCCAGAGAGAATAAAATGATTAGCAGGAGTGCCAATGTGTTAAGGTAGCTGCTCCCACAAGCCACTGTCAGTTGGTGTTCTGCCTTTTCTCAGTCTCAAAGCCACGATTCCATCCAACTGATCTTGGACTAAACCTTCTGAAACTCTGAGCCCAAACCAATCTTTCCTTCCTGGTTGACAGGTATTTTGTCACAGCCACTGAAAGTCTGACTAATTTAAGGGTATTTGGCCGAGGGAATTTACTAACTACAAATCAGAACAGCACTTAAATTCCATTGCAGTTTCAACATAGGGCTGAAGCAGGCTAAACAGCATGTCCTTACTACCAGAGCATCAAAATGGGAGCTTACTTGGAAAGAGGGTTTTTGCAGACAGTTAAAGAGAATGATGGGATTATACTAGATTAGGGCAGACCCTGAATCTCATGAGAGTGACCTTATATGAGACAGAAAAGGACACAGAGACACACAGGGAAAGCCATGTATACAGACAGAGCCTGTGACACTGCTCTAAGTGAAGGGATGCTGGGAGACACCAGAAGCTGCGGCAAGCAAGGCTTCAGAGCCTTTATAGGAAGGTAGCCCAAAGCCAGCCGGTGGTGGCACATGCCTTTAATCCCAGCACTCGGGAGGCAGAGGCAGGCGGATCTCTGGGAGTTCGAGGCCAGCCCGGTCTACAAGAGCTAGTGCCGGGACAGACACCAAAGCTACAGAGAAACCCTGTCTCGGAAAACCAAAAGAAAAAAAAAAAAAAAAAAAAAGGAAGGTAGCCCTGAAGGCACCTTGATTTTGGGTTTGAAAAGATAAACCTCTCCCATTTGATCATGAAATTTACTGTAATTTGCTACAGCTACCCTATAAAGCAAATACAAGGATTTTCATGTGGGGTGTAAATAATCCTCCAATCATTAATATATTTTTAAAGGAAAATGTCACTGATTCCATCTAAGTTTAGGGTCCAGAGTTTTGACATGTTTCTGTCTCAGTCTGTGCATCTATAAGAGACTGGAGATATGGCTCAGTGGTTAAGGGTTCAACTGCTCTTGCAGAAGATCCAGGTTTAGTTCCCAGCACCCAGGCAGGGGACTTACAACTGCCTGTAATTCCAGGCTGCTCTGGCATTATATCAACACTCTTATACCTTCCGGCCCCCCACCCCCACCAATTAAACTTGACTTTAAAAGAGAGAAATTACTAATGTAGAATTATAATCCATAATGGGAAAAAATAATCACAGGAAGTTACTCAGACTTTAGGGAAATTTTACACAGCAGGAAAACACTCATTAAATATTCCACAGATAATTAGCTCAAAGGCAGAACAGTTTGAGACAAAGCACTACAATAATGAGTGTTAAAGGATGTTATTTCTCCTCATTTTTCTAGGATTAACATGTCTTTCTTATGAGAGTTCTCTGCTATGTTGCCAAAGTTAACAATGCTAGCATAACCAAGGATAGCACAAACGTGACTAAATCAACAATGCCTTTCTGGCTCATCAGCAACAGACTCAAAACACAGGTACTTGCCAAGCACAGTCATCTGATTGGTGTCCTTGTTCTGTGTCCATTGTTCCACATCAAGTGTAACCCTGAAGTCAGTGGACAATCCTCATTTTAGCTTTTATGAGGAAAGTGCATTTACCCCACCCCCTTCCACTTTCTCTGACCTTCCACATCCATCATCTCAATAGCTGCTTT